CCCCCCGCCCAAACGTCACAAAAGCATCCGCAGCCTTTCAGCCCGCTTGTCTGAGCTGGCGTCTACCGGCAGCAAACCACGGCAGAAGGGCGGTAACGGTAGTTTGGGCTCCTTACAGAGCGCTTTCCTTATCTCGTTGGCAATTTTTACTGATTGTGAAGAAAATAATTACTAGAATTTGAACTAGCAACTAAAAAAATCGCCCGCCACGGAAGAGCAAAAAAATGCAGCCAGCCCAGGGCTACCTCTGCACCCGAGCTCTCAGGTACCCACGCCCTGTATGTAAAGGTCAATTTCCATTTTGTTCGCTCCCTTCACCCTTCCCTGCCTCCCACTTAAGAATGCGTAAGAATAGGGCTTTAATATTTAAATGTTGGATGTTGGAATTAGTTTTCCCCATTTCCCTTCTAAATTCCACGGGAAGGGGAAGGGGTGGCTGCGTCGCCCAGCCCAGGCCCCCGTCCAGTCCCCTCCGGTGACTCCCGCGAGAACACGCACACGGTAATGGTGATGGTGGTAACGCACGCGGCGCTGCTGGTAAACGCACACCGCGCTGCATTATCCTACTATTAGAAACAGCCCAACCCATTGCTGTCGAGTCGGTTCCCTGGCGGTGGGAGGTGCGGGGAGAAAGGGAAGACAGTTTCCCAAAGTCCAAGGAGACCATAAAAGCAGAGTTGTTCTTCAGATGAAAGAGTGCATTGCTCTTTTTTCTCCTCTCCTGGCATCGTTAGAAAATTCATTGTCCCCAGGAACACCGCTCAGATTCCTGGATTTCACAAATTAGTGGGTGCAAGAGGTGCTAATGACAAGAATATGTCTGTTTCAGTGAGTGGAGGGGTCTATAGGATCTGTGCTGTATACTCAGTAAAATACACCAGGCAGCAGAGGAGGTACTTTGAGGTTCACATCTGAGCCAGTGAAGTCTTCATCCCAGAGGACGTTTGGAGCCCGTGCCTGTGAGGAGGGGAGGTGAGGGCAGCCAGAAGTTTAACACTTGGAAACCTGAAGGGAAGGCCCCCTGATCCATAGAACTTCTTAAACTTAGGCGCACAGGCAGTGCCAGACATGGACTGGAGTTCCTTGCATCATTTCAATAAAACATGGCTGTATTGATACAATCCTCTATACATTGAAATGAGGTTGTCACATGTTGTCATTAAGATCTCAGTAAAACAATGAAGACATTATTGGGCACCCCCCTTCAGGCAAAGGTATTAGGGGAATAAAACAATCTACACCACACGGGTCCTATTGAGATTAATGAAAAAATTATGCAAAAAAAATCTCAATTTCATTTTCCCCGTGACAGGGCTTTGCATACACACAGTCAGCCTTGCCCTGCACCTGATGATTTATTAAACTAATCTACAGTGATCACCACTGATGTTCTCAACTCAATCTTGTCCCAGCTCATTTTCTAAGTAATTGTTTCTCATTAGTTCTGATAATGTTTTAATAGTGTTACCCATAATTTAGCCCCCAAGAATTAATAACAGGGGTGATATGGAAAAGCTGCTTGTGATGAGCTACACAAAATATAAACAGGTATGGTTTTTAATTAATCAGATTAGCTGCAAGGTCTTCGTGTAGTACATTAGGAGCTCGCAGTTGCTGAGGGAGAGCTCATTTCCTCATGTTAGGCATTCCCATCACGCCAAATGGATATTCAGCCCCTCCAGTCCTCTGCTACCTTCCCACTTTCCCTGTAGTATCTTTGCCTATTGCTTTTGCTACTGGTATGATTTTGTTTCCCGGCAACTTCTTGTCTTATGAGTTTTAGTCTTCAAGGAACAGGTCATAAATGGGAGTTTCTGACATGAACTATAAACTCTTTTCCAGGACAGTGGTTTGTTTGGGCAGTAGAAACTTAGTCAATGTTTTTGCCTCCAAATTTCATCATTCTATCCTAACTGGGACTACTAGATTATGAGTCAAATGCTAAGTCAGACATTTGAGGAGGTCTGGACAACATGGCTGTTTGAACAAAGTACTGTTCTGGATGAAGGGCATGGTGACCATGCCAACATGGCCAGAGACCTGGGAGCCCACAGGCCTCCTGGTGAAAGGAGCAAGGAGACCTAGCTAGCTCCAGATGCTTAGCACACCCCCCCTCCTTTGTTATTATTGTTAGGTGCTAATGAGTAGGTTTAGACTCCCTGTGACTTTATATACAACAGAATGAAACACTGCCAAGTTCTTTCTACAGGGTTGCTTTTCCCAATGTTCCAACACCCTCAGCCCTACATCTGGGACTCTCAAATAGAGGAGGGCTTTCAGTGAGCTCCTGACTGGAGGTGGTTCAGGTGTGCTGGGTGCCATGGTTCCCTGTAACTAGGGTAGGAGCTGGAAGGTCTGCTTATCATCTTTTCACAGCCCAGTGGGGTTATCTATAGGAACACTGGAGGATGGGCGATACAGTTATAGAGGGTGCTGCCTGTACCGAATTGAGAATGTGCATAAATGAGAGGGAAGCCTTCCTTTTACCAAAGGAAGTTTCTTTGAACGAACAGTTCTCCAAACCAAAGACTTCTGTCTGTCTGTATATTCTGAGCAGAGGGTTCAGATGTAGTATGGCTGGCTACTCATGGTTCTGGATTACCCTTGCACTCACTGGACTCATGATTCCCAGAACCCCTGAGGCAATGGGGAGATGGACTGCTGTTCAGTAACCTCCACCTACTACCACTGTCCAAAGTCATGAAGTAGCTTTCCTAGAAGCCAGTGGCCTCCAGAGTTGAGATGACATCTTCCTCCTTATGACCTTCTGTGTGAAGATAGGATTAGCTTCTACCTTTTTGTCCAGGTTATTTTGGTACAGCACAGGGCAACCACAATGACGGGTGATAATGAGGAGGTGGACATGAAGAGCAGGCAAGAGGCTACTGCCCAAAGCAGGTCAGGCTCCTGGTCTTGCACACCTCAGTCCATTTTAAGAACTGACATTTTGGATGCTATGTGAATATTAGCAACAAGTCCATGAGAAATGAGTCTTCCTCTGCTTACTGATGGATTGGGGTGGGTAGGGGGATGTTACAATGGCTGTGTGTGACACTGATTTTGCTCTCTTTTGTAGGGACCTTTCATTTCTATGTAACCTTCAACTGTACTTACTTCTTAGGCTTCCTGTAGGAATTAAACAATTGGAGAAAAGTAGACTCCTTGTTGGGGCATCCAATAGGGGCCATATAGGAAAGAAACAAAAAGAGAGTAGGAGGAGGTAAAAAATAAAAATAAAAAACAACTGTTTTCTATTTACAAATTTAAATAAACAGAACAGCCTTCCCCGCGGTGTTTGTCTAAGAGTAGCAGCATTGCTGCTGTGTAGGTCATGAAAAGGTTGGTGCAGAGTTTAAAACTTCCCATTCTGTTAATTTCTTAAAGAACAGTCGTTCAGAGTCCCAACACAAAAGCTCATGATTTAATGAGGAACAGAAACAAAATCTCTGATTGTTGGTGTTTCAAACTTCATTGGCGTCCTCTGGCAAGCACAAGTTGATCCTTTGCGGCTTCAATACCCTTTAGCCTTCAATATAAGAGTACATGCTGAATAGGGAACAATGGCTGGTTGTTATGTTTATTTACCCTTACTACAAGCTGGGTTAACCTCTTCAAAACAGCTTTACTAAGCCCGTTAACCACACCACCCATATGACCTGTAGCTGCATCTCTAATGTGATGCAAATCTCGTAGGGGACCATATGCACTAGCTCTGCTGCATTGTGTCTTCTTAGATGTTACACAAGTTTATTGCTGACAGAGTCTTGTCCGGGCTATACATTTACAGGGGGGAATGGCCTCAGTGGCAAACAATTAAATGGGGAAAGAAAGGGGAAGAATGGATGGTCTGTGTTTCTGCACATTTAATTTTTAATTGCTGGTAAGTGTTGAACCAAATACACCCACAACAAGAGTTTTGGTATTCAACATTTAGCGTCTATGTATATGTACATTTCATCTTTGAGGTGTAGATGAAATGTAATCAGTGTTAAAGATTTCTTTTTAGGAGATATCTTTGTAAGCCAGTGTAATACATTTTCTATGCCATTTTTGCTGTTTTATCAGATGACTAGTGAAATAGTCATGACTCTCTTATTTCATTATTTCTTAGACCTAGCCTTTCATAAAATTATTTATGCTATCATCTGGATAAATGAACAATGTAGGTTCAGTTAAATTACATGAGAAGGGTGAAGCACGCTCTCTATTTATATGTATATGTGTGTGTGTGTGTGTGTGTGTGTGTGTGTATACACAGAAAGATCTTTTTCATGAAAAATCTAACTTCTTAAAGTCTCTGTTTCCCTACTGTTTTCTGTTTCTGTAAAGTCATATGTCTATATTTGTAACACATTAACTAAAAATAATAACTTGAAACTGAAAAGGAGAAAAACCATTTTTAGAGGAGTTAGCTGGCCAGTAAGATAACAACCATAACAAGAAAAATTGTGATTAACATGAACTGTAAGTAGAATAAGGTTCCAATCTGGCATACTAACAAGTTGCCTTGAGTATTATGGTTAGTCTTTAAGAAATCCACTGTATATGTTCAGCCCACCTGATGAGAGCTTCATTTAACAGATCATTTTTCCTTGATGGCTGTGGCAAGCGTAACAATGTTCTGGGCCTGCTTCAGTAATGGCATGTCGATCATACTCCCTTGGAAAGTAAAGGCTCCCTGGAAAACAGAATACAAACTTCCTGAAAGAATGCATGGAAATTATAGGCTTCCTTTCTGCAAACACTTGTCCAACAAGAACATTTTAGACGCCACCTGAATTATACTGACTTTCCTACCGAACTTTTGAGAAAGCCAAAGTAAATTGTGGAGGAAATATTTCTTTTTTTCCTCCTGAAGAGAAAAAAACCCCAAATAATCTTTCAACATTTAATGGAGAGAAAAAAAAGACATGAGGCTCTGAGAACTATGCTTATTTAACTATTAAAATCAAACAGAAAACTGTAAAAGGGAAATGTAAATACTTCCTTGTGTGACTTTTGGACACAGAACTTTAAAAAATAGTTGTAATATGCTCATGACAAGTGATTACTGTTTTAATAAATTGATCAGGTTAATAGCAAATGCTTTCTGCTTGATATACCAGAATATAATCCTTATACTTTACAGTAATAAGAATGTATGAAGTAGGATTAGTCTTTTCATACACGCAGAGAGAATTAAAATGACGAGGCAAGTAGAAACCTATTGTCTGTGTCATGTGATATATAGACTATTCTATATGAGTAAACTGAGGCTCTGGGTTGTTGTTGTTATGTGCTTTTGAGTAGCCTGCGACTCATAGGGACCCTATTATGTACAACAGTCCTAAACCCTGCTCTGTCCCATGCCAGTCTCAATGTCTCCGACACACCTACCCCCATTACTCCAGTTAATCAATCCACCTCATAGAGGGTCTTCCTCTCCTGCACTGTCCCTCCACCTTCCCAGGTGTGACGTCCTTCTTGCAACATGTCCAAAGTATGTCAGATGAAGCTTCACGATCCTTGCCTCCAAGGAGCAGCCTGGTTTAACCCTCTCCAGGTTGAACCTGTTTGTTTTCTTAGTATATTCAATACTCTTCTCCAGCACCACAGCTCTGGGTAGGTAAGTGAAATTCCAAAGTCATGTGACTAAGCTGGGTTACTACTTGAATCTCAAGAACTTTTTTTTTTCAAGAACTTTTTAAAGCATTCATTATACACTGTATAGTAATATATTAAGACAGTTTCTTAAGGGGGGGGGAACCATAAACAGACAAGAAGGCAGAAAATCCAGAATATGAAATAAATATCAGGTTATTTACGATCTTTTAATCACTTCTTTTTGCTGCTTACAACCATCTTGATTCTCTTCTGCTTGTTGGCAGAGATGCTAGTGACTGTGGGAAGCAACTAATCTTTTGAGATCTTTTTGGTGGATTGGATAATCATAGTTGTTGGTCTTTGTGAATACACTGCATTCCACTCCTTAGTTTTCTCAACTACATGTATTTTGTTCTCAACAGTTAGTGTCTCCTGATGCCCAATATGTGTTGGGTTTTCTGGAAACCATCTTCCATAATGGGGAATATAGGGAAATGATACAACTGAAATATTCACATGACACTTCCTTTGCTTGCCTTGGAGCCCTTACTGATGAAGACCAAATACTACCTATAGCTTTTAGTATAGATTATACCTCAACATAAAACAAAAATCCTTATAAGTTGACCAATAAACAACATCATTTGAGTTTTTTTTTATTATTTTGTGTACTGTCAAATCAGATCTGACTGGTACAGGAGGAGATTGTCCCTCCTTCCCCGGCAGAGCATCTGGCTGATTCAAACCGTGCGCCTCTGGGATTGCAGTGCAGCTTCTTGCCACTAGGCCACCAGAGCTCCCCAGGCCACCAGAGCTCCCCTCAACATCATGATAAATAGAGAAAAGATTGACATTATCAAGAATGTCTTTTTTTACTTGGCTCCATAATCAATGCTCACCAAAGCTGCAGTCAAAAATAAAATTATTGCATTGGGCAAATCTCCTTGGAAATGAAGATGCAATGACTTCATCTCACATATTTTAGGCAAGGACTAGTCAATGGAGAAGGACATTTTCACAGGTAAAATGAAAGCTAAGTGAGAAAAAAAGAAGACCCTTAATGAGGTAAACTGACATAGTGACTCTTAAAGAGTGGGCTCAAATATAGCAACTATTATGAGACTATTAGTTCTTTCACATAACAGACACTATGGATCAGAACCAGTTCTAACAAAAGCTTATGTAGGATAGAAAATTGGTGAGGTATAATTTTTTTCAGAATGTATCTTTGAGTTGAGATTTTTAATAAACAGTGCCTAAATTTCTTAGTCTTACAATGAGAAGTGTTAATTGACATGAACACTTGTGTGATCCAAAATCCTGTACTGTAAGCCACTCTATAGCCCTCTGATTTTTATGGCACAGGATAGGCCAAGGTTCAGATCAGTTGTTTAAAGGGTTGCTATGAATCACATTTGACTTGGTGGCACGTAACAAAAATAATGTAACCCCAGATTAATTTTTGCCTAATTTAATTCAGCTAGAGCTAATTGGTAATTTCTGTGACTATGATGAATTTTCACTGTTAATTTTTATTTCTATCTAAATATTTATTTTCTTTCTAGATATATCTATGTTGCTTTTTATTTTATGAATTTAGTTAGATCAGAGGATATTCTGTAGGTTAGCATTACATTTGGAATCAGGATACGGGACACATGCTGTTTTACAAGGCAATAGTCTAGGTTTCTTATTGTAGTGAATGAGGAAGACCAAAGACCTCCTAGTTATCTGCCCACCAAGTGGATTATGGCCCTCTAAAATAGCACATCTGTCCTGCTAAATCTTAAAAACGGGCTGGAGAGACAAAGTTAGCATCATGCATGATGCACATAAAAGAGCAGTGATGCACAGACTATCATAATGACAGTCCTGAATCTGTATCATCTTCTCCGTGACTGCTTTGGGTTCCTCATGCATATGACAAAAAGACATAGTTTCTGTTGGAGAGAGATAATGACAGGAGAGAGACAGGGAGATAACTTCTTAATATGATGCAGATTATGCTTGATTTCCTTTATTAAGCTTAATCTGGAAAAAACATTCAGCATTTTTGTTTCATACTTCCTTCACTTATACAATTTCAGACTTCAGTTTTCAGAATTAGGCTAATATGAATATCCTCATACTTTCACATATCAATCTAAAATATGCCTCATTTTTTAAAACATAGGGATTTACATGTGAAATGTAAAGTTTGCTAGGACTTGCAATAATGCAATTTGTCAGAAAGCTATTTGGATTTTGTAGCCAGGGTCTAGTGCATTTCCTCAAGAATGATTATAAATGGGTTTCAGTTTCATAGACCAATACTTTTTTTGAAACTGGTATACTATTTCAAAAAGTTAACTTTAAAGAACTTTGGGGTGTCTATGTAGGTTTGATGATTCAGACTTTTTGTTTCAAATGCCTTTAATAATTTATTTGTATTAGATAATTTAATAACCATAACTATAATAATAACAGCAGCTATATATATAGTTTCTAGTCCCAGGGGCCATACCTCACACTTTACATGCTTTCCCCGCCCCCTGGTATAATCCTCACAATCCTCACAAAAACATTATGAGGTAGATACTGTTATCTGTCCTATTTTATAACAGAGCAAACTAAAACCCAGAGAGACTGAAAAATCAATGAAAGTCTTTCCTGGAGCTACTAAGTATTGTGCTTGGATGAAACCTAGCTTCTTCTGATCTAAAATCTAAAATCCCAAAATCCTTATTTTTTTGAATTGTGATTTTAGTGAAAGTTTACAGAAAGGATCAGTAATTCATTGATACATCTTTTCCTCCCTTCCTCTCCACCAGGTGATTGAAAATGTTCATGTTCTCTGAATGTGTTCTGTGACGTCCTGAATCAGAATCATCCTGGGTCTAATTCTATATGATTTGATATAGATGATCTAGAGGTTGACTCATTTGATAATTGTAACTCACATTCATGTTTGAGAACCTCTGTGTTCTCCCTTTGAAAGAAAAGGTTAGGCCAACTTGATATATAAGTGAAGAGTTCCTCTTAAGGATATTTTATAAATAATGCCCTTTTTTATGGTATCTTCAAGATGTCTGATAACTTGATTTTTTTCAGATAATTCATCACTCATTCATTTTTCTATCAAGTATTTATGGGGAAAGACATTTGGTGGTCACAAAACAGATTAAGCTGACCCCTGCCCTCAGAGAGCCTAGAGTTTGCTGGAAAGGACAGGGAAGAAAAACAGCAAGAAGGAGACTACGATGACTAATTCAATAAAACTCCCAACTTATTGCTGTCAAGTCAGAACACACTCGACCTTCTATTGGGTTTCTGAGGCTAAAAAGTGTATGGGGAGAGACTGACTTTAACAGGGTTACTGGTGAACTAACAATGCAGCTCCCTACAACTACACTACCAGAGTTCCCTGTAAGGACCAGGGAACAGGAACATAAATCTGAGTGTCTTCAGTAGCTGTCTTTCTTATCCAATGGGTGTCATCTTTGCATTGTTCACACAGATAACCGTATTGTAGTTCTCATTTCTATTGAGTCAGAACCGACTCATAGCTGGCCCTTTATAGGGTTTTCAGAGACTGTAAAATGGCATAGGAGAAGATTATACATTTTTTCCCTTTGGAGTCACTGGTGGTTTCACACTGCCAGAGAGGTGCCACCTTTGGGTTAGGAGCACAACTCTTATGTGGCCTATGTACCAGAGTTCCCATATTGTATATCTATAATATGGTCCTCAGAATATAATGAGCTTTTAGTCAACAAATTCCTATTGAGTTATTTGTTATAATCATTTATCATTACTTTGATATATCTTGTACACACACACATTTCTGATTCCAGACTCCTGGAGAAGGCACTATCATGTGCTAGTTTAAGAAGGAGAATAATACCTGTTATGTTGTTGTGTTATTTTTCTAAAGCTTGGCTATTGGTTGATGATAACAGTGTGTTAGGTCCCTAGTATTCTTGGGGAGAATCTCTCTGGTGGCAAAAAGTGGTGAAAGTGATGTTGGTATTGATAATACAGTGTTTACAGATTGTTGTTAGGGTACCATCCAGTTGACCACAACTCACAGTGACCATGTCAACAGCAGACCTGAAC